AGGCGGGGAGGGAAGAGCACCCCCCCGCCCCCCGTGGAAGTGGGCGAAGGGAGCCAGGCATCTTTGCTTCATCTCTGTCTGATTGTGTCTTTGAGATTTACCCGCGGCCACATCTATTTGCATTCCAAGCCTCTATCTCTGCTTCTCTGGATAGTGTCTCTCAGATCTCAACGCTCTGGGTCTCTTTCTCTGTTCTCTCTCTCCCTCCCCATCTCTATGTTTCTCCACGTCTCTGTCTCTGTCTCTCTCTGAGTTTCATGTCTCTATGTCTCTGTCTTTCCTGGATCCCATGTTTTTCGTGTTTGTCTCTGGATCGCGTGTGTGTGGTCCCGTCTCTGCAGCTCCGTGCCTCTGTTTCCCTGGATCCCATGAGCCTGTGTCACAGGCTCTCGGTCTCTCTCTCTGCGTCTTTGTGTCTCTGCCTCTCTTTGGACCCCCGCGTTTGTGGGTTTGTCTCTTTCGGTCTCTGTCTCTCTATTGCTATCTCTCTCGCGATCTCTGTCTCTCTCCCTTGATCTCTTTCTTCCAGGCCTCCTCTCAGCAGTCCTGAATCTCAGGGGGCCATCTCAGACTCCCATTTCTGGCCTCTGTCCCCATGGGGCGCCCCCTCTCCCCATCCCTCTCTGCCTCATTTCTCCGGCACCATCTGCTAGCACTACAGGCCCCCGCCCGCTCTCACAGGCTCTGCTCGGCCTGGCAGCTCCATGCGGGAGGCCGGGCCCCCCAGCATCCTCCCCACCAATGCATCCTAAGGTGGGGGGCACTGCCTGGTCATTGCTGGGGTGGGGAGAGGGGACAACAGCCTGGAAACCCAGGACCAGGGGCAATGGAGAGAGAGAAACAGCAGACACCCCGTGAGAAGATGGGGGGGGAAGGGGGAAGAGAAAGGAGAAAGTATAAAGGAAGGCAAAAAGAGATCGGTCTGGGGAATGAGAGAGAGCAAGACAAATAAGCAGAGCAGCAAAATGATACCGAAGAAGAGAGAAAAGACAGACAGACGAGAAAGAAAGCAAGACAGACGAACTGAGTGCGGACGGGCAGAAAAGGAGAAAAGAGAGATTCGGCCCAAAGAGAGAGAAAGGGTGGCCGGGGCGAGATGGACGACAGAGAGAGAAGGGCAGAGGGAGTGGGCACGGCTGTTCTCTCTCTGAAGTTTCCAGAAGCTCTGAGCGTGAGAACTGGCTCTCTCCAAAGAGTGCCCGCACGGCTCCCCCGTGGCCCTGCTGTCCCCTCCTCCACCCCGGGAGATGGCAGAGGACCCCCAGGAGGGCCGAAACGGGCCGGGGGACACTCAGAGGCCCAGACATCTCCCCTCCTGCTCTGTTCTGCCCTGTGTTCTTCCAGAGGGTCTGAGGAGGGCTGAGGGGCTCCGAGCCCAGCGCTGGGCTCGTGTCCATGGCTCCTGGCTCCGGGGTTCAGGCTCTCTCCCTCCACACCTCCCCATCTTTATCTCTCCATCTCTCAGTTTGTAGCTCTTCTCTGTCTCTCTCTCTCTCTTGGTCTCTATTTTTTTCTCCCCTTTTTTTTTTCCCCTCCCTCTCTCTGTATTTCTATTTCTGTCTGCCTGTCTGTCTGTCTGTCTCTTTCTCTTGGTCTCTCTCATCTGTCTTTTCCTGTCTCTGGTCTTTCTTGGTTTTGTTTCCTGTCTCTCAGCACCTCGGTTCCTCCGCACTGCGTCCACCTCCCTCTTAGTCTCTCTCCTCCCTGGTCCCAGCCCCCCACCCCCCGACCTTTCCAGTCCCAGCAGAGAGACCCCCAAGCCCTCTGGGGGGCCAAGCAGAGACTCCCTTCCAACCCCAGCCTCTCTCCGAGGTGCTGGGCAATCCCAGACCCCTGTCCCTCTCCACCCCATGAACTGAGACTTTCCCAGGACCCAGAGGGCGCCAGGAATTTGGGGCAGAGAGCAGGGAGGCCAGCCGGAGGCCAGGAAGCCAGGACCCCCGTGTTACTCTCTTCCCCCAGACTTGTCTCCATTCCAGCCTCTGGAGCTGGACCTCATACCACCCCTTACTCCCTGCCCTTTCTGGGGCCTCTGGGCCTCAGTTTGTCCTCTGCAAAATGGGTAGACTCGCCTCTGACCCACTCATCTTATAGGCCCCAGGGGAATGTGTGCTCGCGAATGTCAGTTATGATTGATGTGCGTGAATTGGTGGTTTGTGTTAAGAGGAGAGGGCTGAGAGCTGGATGGGACTTCGTTTCTCAGCCTCTCCCCACGCGTACAGACATCCCCCCTATTGCAGGCAAGGGAAGCGCCTGGAAGCGGAGGTTGTGAGGCCGTGGGTTCGTGCGATTGTGGGATGATGGCGTGTGATCCCGAGTGACGTGTGAGTGTGGGCGAGGCTGTGGTGGAAAGAGTTGTGTGTCCGTATGACCACGGCACTGGATGTGACTGCATCACGGTGACGTATGACAGACGACGCGACATTGGGAACCTGCGAGAGCGTGTGCCTCAGTGACAGTTGGGGAATGTGTGTTGTTTGGATGTGACAGACCCTGTAGGTGATCATGTGGGGTGTGCGAAACAATGCGTAAGTGTTAATGGGTGTGGTTGTGTAACCTTGTGTGTGACCTTCAGATTGTGTCATCAGAGGCGTATTTGAGCATGCGAGGAACCATATAACTGTGTGCATTTATTTCATCAACGATCATTCTCTCGGCCTTTCCGCTCGTGTGCCCAGACCTGTGCCGAGTGACACGGGGGCCCCTGGCTTGTCTTCACGGGGCGCACGGGTGGGTGGGGAGAGACAGATGATCGTGTGAGCTAGTGCCTGCGTGCAGGTGTGTGTGATTGGCACAGCATCTCCGGAACTGTGGAAGGTCATGGTTTTGTTACTGTGTGAGTAAAAGTGTCCACGCCCTAGATATGTGGCTGTGTGTCACTGCGGGTGACTGTCAACCTCTGGGTGAGAGACCTTGGCTCTCTGGGTGTGACTGTAGCTTGTCTGACTATGAATGAACGTGAGAAACATGTTCTCTGAGGAACGGTGTGTGAGACTCTGTGCTGAGCCGCTCTGAGGCTGAGTGAATGGGATTGTGTGTGACAACGTGCCTGTGACTTCGTGACTGCCTGCAGCTCTGTGGGCGATGGCTGGATGGGACAGTGTGAGAGACTGCACTGGGGGAAAGGAGTCCTCAGGACAAAGACTCCGAGACTGTTCTCGCACATGACCTTGAGTGACTGATATTCACAAGAGACTGGCCTCCTGCTCTGGGTCCTGCCCCAGAGCTTCCCCCTCCCCCGGCCCGGTCCTGGCCCCGCCCCCTCCCACCACCAGGGCTGTAACCTCTCACGGAGCCCAGGCGAGGCGGTGGAGGCAGCAGCAGACCAGCAGTGGGACAGGTAAGGGCTCCCCCCACGTCCCCGCCCGTCCTCCCTGCCCTACGACCCCCTCAAGTCTCTGGGTCCCCCGCTTTCTTTTTCTTAGTCTATGCGGTTGTCCATCTCTCTGTGCCCACAGTCTCCTCCCGTCTCTCTCGGTCTCCATGTCTCCCAATCTCTGTGTAGCTTCTAGGTAGTGTCGTACCCTTATTTCTCTGTCCCCTATTCTCTGTGTCTCTCTCCATGTTTCTAGCTCCCCTTTGTCCCCTAGCCCACATTTTTGGCTGTCTTTCTCTGTCTCTTGCCATGTATCTCTTCTGTCTCAGTGTCTGTGTCTCTCTGTCTCCATATTTCATCTCATGCATCTCTGACTCCCTGTCTTTCTGGGGGTCCATCTGAGATGCTCCCTGACTCCCCTCCCTTTCCCTGCGGTGCTGCTGGGTGGAGGGTGTTGGGAGTCCAGACACTTGGGTCCTTGTAGATCGGAGCCCAGAGTCGGACGCCTCTCTAGTCCCTAAGGAGAGTGTTGTCCCATCCACTACAGGCTCATCCACAGCGAAGAAAGTTTTATAAGGTCGGGTTCCCATCGGCGATTTGAAAACCCTTTGGGCTCGGAGAGTGGGAACTGCGGGGGTCGTTTCAAGCTCCGCGCCTGACGGTTTCTGTGGCCGCCTTTCCAAGGCTGTGCCCAGGTTCCCCAGAGTCTCCGGGTGTAGACTCAGAGTGACATTAGCGCTTCCGCCCAGCAGAGCTCTAGGGCAACAGCGCCCTCGGCAAACACCCCCCCCTCACCCCCAACGCGGCGGCTCCAGCAGCAGCTGGGGGGCGGGCCCGAGGTCACGTGTTGAGTCCCAGCTCACCCCCTCCTCATGCGTCTGCTGCCCCAAATCATCACGGGTGGGGGCGGCGGGGGCACTTCCTCGGAGTCTGCGTGTATGAACTCCGGAGCCGGTGCCCTGGGGCTGGGAGCGGAGGGCCAAGGCTCCTGACTCTGCCCTCGGACCCTCCAGGCCCGGCTGCCCCCGCGTGACCGGACCCTTCGCCCCCCATGCCCCGCCGCCCTCACGATGCCGAACTGTCCGCCCCGGCGGCGGCTGCTGCTGCTGCTCTCGCTTTGGGAACTGCTGCCCCGGAGGGCGGAGGTGAGGACTGTCGGAGCCACGGGGAGTTCAAGGCTTGGAGGGAGGTTTGGAGGTGGTTTTAAGTCTTCCCCAGCTGCAGAGAGAGTTTTAAGACTACCCCGCTCACCCGGATTCCAGTTTTGATGGTTGCCAGCCACCCAGTCAGTCTCTCCTAATCTTCCTGGAGGTTTGCAGTCCCCCACACAGCTCCCTGGTGGTATCTAGGCACCCCTCAAGCGTTAGAAGAGGTTTCTCAGCCACCCAAGACTCCCGGGGAAAAGGACAGCCTCTCCAAGTTCCTCTAGGGTTTCTGGCCCGCACGACCCATGGCTGCCTGGGAGGGGGCTCGATCGCGGGGTGGGGGTGGGGGATCCTCCCTTCTCTCTTTCCGTAGACAGGCTTTGAGGGGCAGACGGCGGGAGAGTTGTACCAGCGCTGGGAACGCTACCGCAGACAGTGTCAGGAGACCCTGGAGACCGCGGGGCCCCCAGCAGGTGTGACTGCGCAGGGGGCTCGGGCTGGGTGGATGAGAGGGGCCGGGCCTGGGACTCACGGGTGGGGCCTGAAAGAGGAGATGTCTGTGGTAGACGTGGGTGGGCTGGGGCGGGGAGGCCTGGGTGGGCTTGGCCTTGGTGGGAAGGGCTTAGGCCTGAGTGCGTGGGGACCGGGTAGCAGCTCGGATTAGTGGGAGAGGCCTGGGAAGAAGCTTAAAACGGGCGGGATACTGGCCAGCGCCACACTGGGCGGTGGAGCCTGAAGTGGGCCGCGAAGGGGGTGAGGTTTGGGGTGGCGCCTAGGAAGTGGGAAGCAGAGTGGGAAGCACGTGCGCGGGGAACTCGCTTGGGGCACGGGAGGGAGCTCAGAATAGGGCTGCGGGATGGGCAGGGCCTTGGGGTGTGATGAGGATGAGGGTGTGATGAGCAGAGCTCTGGCGAAGCCGGTGGACCACTTCCCATGGGCGGGGCGGGGCAGGGCAGGGCAGGGCTTGTGGTCTTAGGCGGAGAAGCATAGTGTGCAGGGCGCAGTAGGTACGTCCGACCTCTGGTCCCCATGCCCACCGCAGGCCTCGCCTGTAACGGGTCCTTCGATATGTACGTCTGCTGGGACTACGCTGCACCCAACGCCACTGCTCGTGCGTCCTGCCCCTGGTATCTGCCCTGGCACCACCATGGTGAGGTTCCCCCTGGCCCGCGGGCCCTCCCTGACACGAACAGCTTCTAACCTTTGCCCCGGACACCACTGCCCCGAAGCTCACCTACACCCCATCTCTTGTCTGGATGTCTCCTGTCTGTCCGACCCTGGCTGGGTCGCCCTGATCCTGGCTCTGTCATACAATGCCACTTCTCTGTCTCTGTTTCTCTGAGGACCGCTGCGTTATTTTCTCTCCTTTTGCTGAGTCTATCTCTGGGCATCCAGGTCTCTCTGTCCTAACTAGCTATGTGGCCCAGGGCAGTTTCTTTAACTTCTTTATGCCTCAGCCTCCTCGTCTGTAAAATGAGACTGATTGATGATAGTACCCATTTCATAGGCTCTTTATAAATATTAAATTAACTAATACATTTAAAATGCTGTAGAAGGGTTTACCGTGATCATCATCATCGCCTAGGTTACCTCTCTCTGCCTTTGTCTCACAGTTAGTCTTTCTGTCTCCATCTCTTTCTCTGTATTTATTATTTCCTCCCTCAACTCCCCACAGTGGCTGCAGGCTTCGTCCTCCGCCAGTGTGGCAGTGATGGCCAATGGGGACCTTGGAGAGACCATTCTCAGTGTGAGAACCCAGAGAAGAATGGGACCTTTCAGGTAAGAAGAAGCGAGGGATTCTGTTTGGATGTCCAAGGAGAGGTGAAAGGCAGAAGCCCCGGATCTAGCCTGAAACCCCTTGTACTGCTCAGGACTCTAGGTTCCAAGGGACAGAAACTCAACTTAAACTTGCTTGATGGAGGAAAGAAAAAAAGAAATGTATTGGCTATTGTGATTAAAAAGTTGAAGGCTACAGCTTCAGGCACAGCTGGATCTAGGTTTCAAATGATGTTGGGAGTCTCTTTGTCTCTCACCATGTCGTGCCTATTGTTTCTCTCTTCTGTCTCATCTTTTGTGGGGTGGAGAGGAAAAGGTGTTCCCCATAGGCTCCAGGCCCACATCCCACCAACCAAGCAACACAGTGGGGAGACTGAGCTCTGTTCACATAGTGCCAGCAGAATGGCCCAGGACTCACTCTTATTGGCCTGGTTTGGGTCCTATGCCCGCCTTGGACTAATCACTGTGTGAGTGTGTGTGTGAGTGTGTGAGTGCGTGTGTGGCAGGGGGTGGGGTAGATGGAATGCTCTGACAGGCTGGTCACATTCCAGGCCTGGAGCTGACTGGTGGAGTCGGCCTCACTGAAATAAGGGTAGTTGGGCCTCCAGAAAAAAAGAGAAAAAAGAGAAAACTGGGGTGCGGGGCAGGACCAAAGAGCAGACGTCCTTCCACCGCTTCCGGCCTTCGGGGAAGAACTGAGCTCTGTTCCCGTGCCCTCCCCCGCCTCATCTCCTAGGACCAAAGGCTGGTCTTAGAACGGCTACAGGCTGTGTACACCGTGGGCTACTCCGTGTCCCTGGCCACGCTGCTGCTCGCCCTGCTCATCCTGAGTTTCTTCAGGTGGGACCCGACCCCCTCCCCGCCCCGGCCCCCAGCAACAGTGGCAGGGACTGGGCCTCGGTTTGCCCAGTAAGAAGGAGTGGTCAGACTCCAGGAGTAACAGGCAGCCATGGTGGCTCTGTGGGAAGAAGGGCTGGGGGTGCTCCAACGAGCTCTGTGGAGCCAAGAACAGGTCTCCAGGGGTCTCCGGACGGTCTCCCAAACCCTCCCCCCTCCTCACAGGCGGCTGCGCTGCACTCGCAACTACATCCACATCAATCTGTTCGCGTCTTTCATGCTGCGGGCGGCAGCCATCCTCACCCGAGACAGGCTGCTGCCTCCCCCTGGCCCCTCCCCCGGGGACCAGGCTCCTCCCCTTTGGAACCAGGTGAGCGTCATTCCCCCCTTCTCAAACTGCCTCCTCTGCGGGGCGGGGAGATTCCCAAACTATTTACTACCTCCTGCACTTTTGGAGAGGGAACCCCCCCAAATCAGCCTCCTCCACTGTTGACCCCACCACTTCCTTTACTGCGATTTCCCCTTCCCTTTCTCTCGTTATCTTACCCATCACTGGACTTTTCTACCAATGAGAGAGCCTTCTGCTGGAGATGAGGTGCAGACCGGATAGGAGAAACTAACTGGGGGGAGGTGAAGGTTGATAGATATCAGTTTGCTACTGAGAGACAAATGAGAGAGACAAGAGGCCGAAGTCAGCGGTCAGAAAAACTGGTAGTGAGCTGGGCCATACCAATTATCAGAGAGTCATGGGGTGGGAGAGGCCGGACGCTGGTGGGGGAGGCATGATGAGAGGAAGAAACCTTTGGATAGGTGGAGTAGCTGAGTTCAATTCTTAGAAGGAGATGGAATGGGAGAGGCCATATTTGGGGGCTCGGGGGGGAACTCTGATAGCAAGATGGAAGATACAAATCGTTTTAAGAGGTCAGAGTGGGAGAGATCATGTAGGGTGAGAGAAACCATCCTTGGTTATAATGGAGTGGGAGAATATTTGATGGCACGAGATGGGGGTGGAAGCGCCGCCAGGTGGAGGAAGGCTTAGGGGCACCCGGTTGCCCTGACTGCCTGTCCCCCTGTCTGGCCATCCCCTAGGCTCTAGCCGCCTGCCGAACAGCCCAGATTGTGACCCAGTACTGCGTGGGCGCCAACTACACGTGGCTGCTGGTGGAGGGCATCTACCTGCACAGCCTTCTGGCGCTCGTGGGAGGCTCCGAGGGGGGCCACTTCCGCTGCTACCTGCTCCTTGGCTGGGGTGAGCCTCGACCCTGTCCCTGCCCAGCCCGGCGCACCTCGGCTGCCCCACTCCCCTGCTGGTTTGTGTCAGGGGGTCTCCCTCTGTCCCGGCTTTTGCCTCCTTACCCCGGCGAGGGAATTCCGCGGGTCTTGGGCCTGGCGGGGCCCGTGCGTACGCTGACAGCTGCGGCGGGGTGGGGGGCGGGGGTCGGGGTCTGCACAGGGGCCCCCGCGCTTTTCGTCATTCCCTGGGTGATCGTCAGGTACCTGTACGAGAATACGCAGTGAGTCGCGGGGTTTGGGGCTTGGCCTGGGAAATGGGCGGGGCTTTGAGGGACATGGGCGGGGCGTGCTGGGAACGAGGGTGGGCCTGGTGGCACCTCTGGGTTCGGAGGGAACGTGGGTGGGGTCTAAAGGAATGCGAGCTTGGAAAGATAGTGTTTGAGGACTACTGGAAAGGGCGGGATGGGGGGCTTTAAAGGAATGTGGGTGTGGCATCAAGGAAGGGAGGCGGGGCCTGCGGGTGAGCGTGAGTGATTCCGTTCATCTAATGGTTTTCAATCGCAGCTCTACAACCTCTCCTCCAGGTGCTGGGAGCGGAACGATGTCAAGGCCATTTGGTGGATCATACGCACCCCTATCCTGATGACCATCTTGGTACGACCGGCCCCGCCTTCTCCAGGCGGTCCGCAGGCATTTCCTATCCTAGGAATCGAGGGCTCCACCCTCTACCTCCCGGGACGGGATGGGGCTGGCTCAGCCTCTGTTTCTCCCCACAGATTAATTTCATCATCTTTATCCGCATTCTTGGTATTCTCCTGTCCAAGCTGAGGACGCGGCAGATGCGCTGCCCGGACTACCGGCTGAGGTGGGGCCGAAGGGGAAGGGGGCCGGGTGCAGGATGGAGGACCTGGGGCCGCGGATCCACTGCCACCCTCTCCCCCCAGGCTGGCTCGCTCCACGCTGACGCTGGTGCCCCTGCTGGGTGTCCACGAGGTGGTGTTTGCTCCCGTGACGGAGGAACAGGCCCGGGGCGCCCTGCGCTTGGCCAAACTCGGCTTTGAGATCTTCTTCAGCTCCTTCCAGGTGCTCAGGCTGGGTGTGGCAGGGCGGCTGCGGCCATTCTCCAGCACAGCCACCGATGGGGTGTGACGATGGGATTTTGTTCATTCATTCCATACAAAACACTGAGCTAGCGCTCTCCTGAGCTGGGGAAGCAGCAGGGACCAAGACAGGAGACAGGTGGCCTCAGTTCTACTGCTTCCTGGTGAAGATCCGGGGCTCTCTGACCAGACAGGGCTGGGGCCAAATTCAGGTCTGTCACTTCCCAGCTCCGTGCCTGTCACCTCAGGGTTCAAAGAAGCTAGGCTGAGGCAAGAGAGATGCTTAAAGTGCAAAATGAAATTTAAAACTGATGCTGCACTTGCTTCCCCTACCCTCGTCCCTACCCTGCTTTACCTCATTGGGCCTCAGTTTTCTCATCTCTAAAGTGGGGGCAACACTGGTCTCGCCCCACAAGGCTGTTCATTCAGTAAAGTCAGCAAACATTTATTGAACACTTATTATATGCTAAGCACTGTTCCGGGTTTACTGTGGGGATAGGGCCAAGAACCAAATGGTCCCTACCCTCTAATGGGAGAGACAGATGCTAAATATGCTTTATGAGTGAAATATACAGAATAGCAGATGGTGAGATGTGCCTAGAGAAAGAAAAGCAAGAGAACAGAGGTGAGGATCAAAAGATGGGGTTATAGACAGGGGGTCAGGGAAGGCCCCCCTCAGAAGATGTCGGAGCAGAGATGGGAAGGTGAGGGATCAAACAAGGCAGATATTTACAGGAAATATTCCAGAAAGAGAAAGCTCAGGTGCAAGATTCCCGAGGTGGGAGAGAGAGCCTGTCAGGATGGAGGAAGGAAGGCCTGCAGGAAGCAGTGGGAGCCGGCGACCGCAAGGGGGAGACAGGACAAGTAATATCTTAACAGTAACATATAAATAATCGATTTGTATTAATTTATCAAGTAATCTATTATAAATTATAAATGTTTTAATAGTTACTTAAATTGATGTGTAAAGCAAATTTATACAAATATAAAACAATGATTATTAAATTAACTCAATAATTTATACTAATCATTAATTAAAAGTAAATATTAATAACTAATCATAATTGATCTATTAACAATTCATAATGATTATATACTATTATATAATAATGGTAAGATACGTAACAATGAAATTAAGAAAAAAGTTTAACACTATGTGCCAGGCACTAGTTTCTAGCATAGTAACACAACCACCATTGTTACCCCATTTTCCAGATGAGGAAACTGAGGCCTAGGTTAAGCAGCTTGCCCAAGTGGGGAAGAAAGTAGGGAAGCGGTTATCACATCCAGGGGCCCCTGTTCTCAGCCTCTTTATTGCTCAGCAAACCGCGGAGGACAGAGGGAGGGGTGGGGAGCCAGGGAGTTAACTGCAGAAGTCTAGGACAAGGGCGGCGGCAGCCGGAGTGATCTGGAGCCTGGCAAGGGTCAGAGCTTTTGAAGGGGTGTTTATAATCCTGCCCCCGCCCCCGATGTAACCCGGCGCCTCATCTGGCAGGGATTGCTGGTCAGCGTCCTCTACTGCTTCATCAACAAGGAGGTAGGGAGAGTCCCGGCCCGCCGCCCGCGCCCTCTGGCGGCCGCGCAGCGAACGGCGCGCCCGGCGCCGCCTCTGAGCGCCGTCCCGTTGCAGGTGCAGTCGGAGATCCGCCGTGGCTGGCACCGCTGCCGCCTGCGCCGCAGCCTCCGCGAGGGGCAGCGCCAGCCCCCCGAGCGCGCCTCTGGGACCCTGCCCTTGGGGTCCGGACCCAGCCAGGTCGCCACTGGCCGCACCCTATCCTCGGGGACCCTCCCAGGGTCCGGGGATGAGGCCAGCCGGGTCTTGGAAAGTTACTGCTAGGCAGCCGGATTCCCGTGTTCATTCGGTTAGCATGTATTTATTGAGCGCCTACTGCGTACCAAGCCCTGTGTGGAGGGCATGGGGAAATGAGGGGTAAGGGAACGAGACAGGTCCCTGTCTTCCTAGAGTTCACAATTAGGTGGTGGAAACAGACCGCGAAAACAATGCACCAAGTTTATATACACTGTGGAATAGCTTATGAAAAAACTCGAAGGGGTCCTAAGGTGGTCTGGGAGGGTGTCTCTGAGGAGGTGACTTTAAACCATGACTGCAAGAGGTGAAGGAGACAGCTTTGGGAAGAACTGGCAGACAAGATCCTAGGCAGAAGGAACAGCATCTGCAAAGGCCCTGGGGTCAGGAAGGAGCTCGGCCCTCTTAGGAACAGCGAGGTGGCCTGCACAGCTGGAGTGGCATGAGTCAGAGCCACCTACTGGGGAGAGAGCAATGGGAAGGGGCACAGAGGTTGGGGTTTTGTTCCAGGTGCACTGAAAATTCTTAGGAGCATCTCATGGGCTAATGTTTTAAACAGTCTTCTGTCTACCCTGTAGGGGACCAATTAGGGGTAGGGGTGGAAGCTGGGAGCACTGTGAGCAGAATGTAGGTGGGAGGAGATGGTGGCTGGACCAGGCGGGGGCCACGGAGGGGTGTGCAGTGGTTGGATTCTCAAGCTATTTTAAAGGCGGAACTAAGGATCTGGCAATGGAGTGCACGAGGAAAGTGTAGCGTTCTTTGACTTGTACCAGGACCAAGGGTCTGGAGCTCGTGGGAGAGGTCAGAGCTGGGGACAGAAATGTGAGTGACACTGGGGTCCAGAAAGGGTTGTGTGTGTAGATATGAATATCGGCAATTCGGGGAAGGCCAAGAGAGCTGAAACCCGACATCCAGAGAGGCCGGACCACTGCGAGCTGTGGAGTGTGGCTGCACATCCTGCCCGCCCCTCCCTGCCCCCAGGTGGCCCCTGGGAACTGGGAGAATTTTGGGGAAGCCAACGGCTTCATTGTAGCTGGACCACCTGCACACATGCAAGACCCTTATTGTTAACCCCCCCAGATACACACTTAGGTCATTAGTTCCTGGGTCTTGTTATTTTCCTTGGGGTCCCCAGCTCCCTGGACAGACACTGAGAGTCCTTTAAGCATGAGGTGGCCCTGCTGTGCCCCCATTGTGAGTTCTGGGAAGGCAGGGACCCTAGGGCAGGGCCCTCATAAATAAAGCATGAGAAACAGCTTTTCGTTTTTTGCTTTGTGGGGTGAATCCTGGAGAGGCCACTGAGGGAAATGACTGAGGCGGGCTGCACGACTTGGTGCCTGTGGTGGCCTCACGGCCCCTGGAGGGCAGCACTGCTCATCTTCAGCCACAAGTTGCCACAAGAAGACGGACATCGTGCTGCCACTGTCGCCCCTAAGAGAAGCCCCAACTGGAGATGTTCACATGACCTCCTGATACTTGGCCATTTGCAGTGTATACAACTGAGTGTGTGCACGCGCCAAACGTTCTCCGAGGGCTTTTTCCCTAGGAAGGCAGTGTGAGCGAAGCTGCAGGAGGCAGCCTGGTTCAAATCTTAGTTTGGCTACTTATTAGTGGCGTGGCTCGGGGGAAATTCTCAGCGTGTCTGTGTGTCAGTTTCCACTTCTGGAAAATGGGTTCCCTTGCCTGTCGCTCTTAGGGGACCGCCTGGTGCGCGATGCACAGCGAACACTTGGCCCGTGTGCCCAGTGCTGTTCCCGTGACCTCTGCTTTCGCTTTCACCAACGAAGGGAGAGGCGATAAGCAACCATTTGGACGGGGAGGTGAGGACGGAAATTCAGACTGATGCCAAGCAGGGTGCCGGGCTGGAATCTTTGCCGCCCGCCTGCCAGGCACAAAAACCAAGTCCCAGTTCCCAGGAAGGGCAAGTCAACAACCAGGGGGAGGTGTGGCGGATCAGAACACAGAGCTGTGACTCCGAATTGCCATGGAAGTCCCCTGAGGCAGCACCACTGTCCCCACTTTACAGATCGATATATCGTGGCTCCATCCTGCTCCCTCACGGTCAAGACTGTTCACAAGGACCTGGCTCCCTGCGTCTAAACGTGGCTCCATCATTTCCCAAGTGATGCTGGGCAAGTCATTACCCTCTCTGGGCCTTAACTGTCTCATCTATAAAATGAGATGGTTCTCGTATCCACCCCAGGTGGCCATTCCAATTAGACCACCTAGTAAATACATGACTTTATCATCCCCACGGCCGCCGTCCTGTGTGTGTCAGGCCCTCTCCTGCGGCAAGGCCTCCAGATCCGCCACTAAGGGGCTCACAGGGTGACTCGGGCTGTGTCTTCACAGCTGGGTCAGACACAGATCCTGACCTCGAACTCCTGCACCCACCTGGCGTCTGGCCCTGAGAACAGAGACAGAGACGCGGGCAGAGACAGAACACAGCAATCTCGGTTGGGGAGAGCCCAGTGTATATCGGAGGAGGGCAGGGGGCTTCCCTAATCCTCCCACGAGGCCCCCCTTTCTCCCCTCCATCTCCCTGTGCTTGTCAGAGAATTCCTCTCAAGGGTAATTGGGTTGTCATTTGAGGGCAGTGGAGCTCAGGGGTTAAGCTGCCGGCTCAGGAGCAGGGGCGTTTGAAGCACAGCATAACCACTCCCTGGCCGGGTGTCCCGGGGAAGTGACACCACTTCTCTGTACCTCAGTTCCATCTTCTGGAACCTGGGGGTAATAAATAAGAAAGCCTGCTCCGAGCTGTTGGGAGACAATCTAAACAGCACCGAGCCTCAGGCTGGCGCCCTAACCAGTGACAGCATGATGGCCATCGCCACGTAGGCACCGGCTGTCTAAACCTGGACCCCGTCCTGTCGGTGGGGGCAGGTCGGGGCTCTGCCAGGCGCTGATGCCCAATGCGCTGCAACACGGCGCTGGAGGCGGCGCCTGGGGGATGGTTCCTGACGGGACAAACGGGAAATAAAGACCGGAAGACACTGCGAGCAAGACTGACCCACTGAGAGAGAGGCAGGAAGAAAGGAGAGACAGATTGATGAGGAGACGCTAGAAAATATTAAAAAAGGAAGGAACAAAAGCTCCATCCGATTCACGTCGCAGGTGGGGAAACTGAGGCCAGGAAGGGGCCGACACGGGGCCTCTTCCCCTGCTCAGAGAGCTCCTGATCCCAGCGCGTGGCCCTACACCCAGCTGCCTCCCTCCCCCCGAGTCTGCCCCACTCACGAGGCCCTGGGAACAGACAGAGGCCCCTAGAAAATACACAGGACTTTTATTCCCATCTCACAGGCAAGGCCCCCACAGCTCGGGGCCGCGCTCCGCCGCAGGGAGGACGCCCCTACTTGCCGGCGATGAGCGGGTTCCGCAGGACCACGATGACCGAGTCCCCGCGCAGGAACATCTTGGAGATGTAGCGGTCCTTGTTGACGGGCTTGGACTTCTTCTTGCCCTTGCCACTCTTGGGGACCTCGGTCCACATCTCCTTCACATTCTCCAGCACCATGTTGCAGTGCCTGGTGGGGACAGGGGTGGAGAGGCACCAGGAGTGAGGGGGCAGCCTTCTGACCACCCCTTCTCTGCCAGCGCTGCCTCCCCATCCAGCACGGCCACGCCGGGCCACCAGTGCCACCGCCGCAAGTCCTCAGGTCGAGGCTTGGGCACAGGACTTTCCCCCTCCATGCCTCAATGTCCACCTCTCTGAAATGGATGTATTCATGGCATAGGGTGGAGGCAAACGAAATGGTTCTACTTGTCCCTTTTAACTCCAAGTACTTCTAAAGGCATCAGCAAAGGAGCGGCCTCTCTTTGGAGACCTGGAGACCTCTGGGGCCTGAGGTGGCACTAGAGCCTCCACCGCAGTCTCGCTTCATCCCTGTCCTCAGACTGCCGGGTGGGCCCGTGTGACGATAGCACGGATTGGCTCAGTCAACAAACGCAATGACTATGGCAATGACTAAAACATGATGTCCCTGCCCTCATGGGGTGTGTCGTCTAGACGCTAAGCAAGTGAACAACACCTGTTAAGACGTTGTCAGGTGGTGGTAACTGCTACGAAGGAAAAAGCAAGGCGAAGGGACAGAAGGGGACTGGGAAATATCCCCGAGTGGTAAGAAAAAAAGAAAAAGATGAAGAACGAGGAAGCTCTGTGCCTTGCTATGGGGTAACCTCCAGGGGACCCCGTTGCATGAAAAAGGCGCGGAGGGCAGGATGCACAGAAGTTACCCACTGTAGGAAAACGAGGGGTAGGAGGAGAATACAGACTGCCCGCTTGTCCAGATGATACAGAATCCTTGGAAGACACCTAGAGATTGGTGGCAATAAAGTGACCTAGGGAGACCGGAAACAAGCTGGATGAAAACTTTTCATTGAACCGTTATTACTGATTTTGGAAACATGTGACTATATTACCAATTCGGAGAAAATAAAGTAAAAAATGAAGTAACATACCAATATGGAAACGTTTCTGAGATATACAGTTAAGGGGAAAAGCCAAGGTCTAAAACTATGCACTATGCCATTAGCAGCGATTTAAAAATAAACAAAACGCGCCCTCCTGTCTCTATACATGTGATGCTATATTCAAGTGATACTCCAGAAGGAGACGTGAGAAATGAGTCACGGTGACGCCCCTGGAGGGCAACTGGGGGGCGGGGGGACTTGCTCTTCATTGGGCACGTTTTATATCTTTCGAATTCTGCTTCAACTATATACACTGCTCACTCAATAAAAGCAACACGATTAATAAATCAATAATTTAGCTGATTTGCAGCGATGTCCTCAGACCACCGATATATGTGAAATACGAGACACGTAAGGGCATACAGAAGATTCTATTTTAAAAACAATTTTATGATATCATGACAAGTCAATTATACCTCAATAAAGCTGTTAGCTACCACCACAAAGAATTCTCCAGATCTATGAACGAATCAAAGGTGGCAGGATACGTACTAGGATGGGGCGGAGGGGTGGGAGGCTGATACAGGGGCTGAGGAGGAACTAGGGGAAAAGGAAGAAGACTCAACTCAAAAGGAAAAAAATATATACGATCTATACACATATGACCACCTAACGAGCACCCGCCACATGCCCACGCCTCTTCTAAGCGCTTTCTAAGCATTAAGCCATCAATCCTCACTGCACCTCACCCGGGAGGTAAACACCAGTGTTCTCTGCCACCCCTAGAGCAGGAAACCAAACATAGCAGGGTGGCGGGACTCACCCCGGGTCACGCATTTTGGAAGCGGCAGAGCCTGTGTTTGAATCCAGGTCTGCCTCCGTGCGCTCGGCGCTTCCTACAGTTTTTATTCTCATTTTATTCAAGAGGAAACTGAGGTTCAGAGGGAAAGACTCGTTCATGGTCACATAGTAGCAAGTGGCCAAAACATTCCCAAGCTTCGGCACAGGGCTTTGAGGAGAGCACTTCCCAGATGCCACCTAAAGGCTGCGGCTTCTATGTTCACTGAACGTTTATCACGTGTCAGGTACTGAGCCAAGCGCTCCTCACACGCATTATCATTTAGGTCTCACGACTGTTCTATCCGGGGTATTCTAAGGAAACCGAAGCCCCGAGAGAAAAATCTCTCGCTGCTCCCTCCGACTGAAACACTCAGGCCCTCGCTCACTCCTTCATTTTATTCAGGTCTATTCACCGCCACCTCTTCCAATGGGGCCTTTCTGATTACCCGCCTAAGCGAGCGCCCCCTTCCCACTCTTACCTGGCTTTACTTTCCTTCGTAGGACGTATCATCTCGTCTTTTTGATACATTATCTATGTGCTTGCTGTTGGCTTCCCCACCCACAGTATGGGATCCCTGAGTACAGGAACCATGCGTTTTAGTCATTGCCGTGTGTCCCTCCAGAGCCTGAAACAGGACCTGGCACGGGCGCACGTTCTGATTACAAAATGACTAGGTTAAGAGCATCCTGTGTGCAGGATGAACTTCTGGTGACTTACTACACTTCACATCTATTAAGCCACTGAATCTCTGCAACCACCACCACGATTACTGCCACTGTACAGATGAGAAAGCCACTTGCCGAAGGTCACATGGCTGATAAGAGGCAGAGCTGGGATGTGAACCCAGGCGGACTGGCTCCTAAGTACATGCCCATAACCACTGTACGGCACAGCTGGAGGGGCAGCAAGAGACAGTCACATTTCGGGGTTATAAGGTGCTTACTCTCCCAGCTTCTGAGAAACCTGGTATTCGGGCTCCTCGGACTATAGCTGGGGCCGCTTCTCTGGGCCTGGAGAGAACACCTCCCAAGACCCAGGCGCTCACCTGTCAAAGGCCTTCACACGGCCCAGGAGTTTCTTGTTGTTGCGACAGTTGATGAGCACCTGGGTGTTGTTCTTGACCGACTGCGTGAGCACAGAGAGTGGACCCGTGTTAAACTCCTCCTCTTCCCGCTTCTGCAGCTCCTCCGGGGTCATCTCACTCTTGGGCTTGTTGAGGAGGCTCCTGAGTGGGCAAGTATGGAGTCCACAGGTGAGAGGGCCCGAAGCTGGAGCACGGGTGGCCATGGCCTTGCACTCAGTGTCCTCCAATCTTCCCCCAACAAGCCCGCCCTCCTGCTCGGTGCTCACTTGGCATCGCCATTTGGATGCCTGACAGATTTCCAATCTTGCACGGCCCGGATTGAGCACCGCAACCAATGCCCAACCGCTTCAACTGATTCTATCCACAGGCTTCATCTCTGTCGATGGCAACTCCATCCTTCCAGTTCTTTGAGCAAAAACGCTGACGTCGACTTGACTGTTTCTCTCATGCCCTACATTCAATCTGTCCGCAAATCCCGTCATCTGCCTCTAAACTATATCCGGAATCTGACCATTTCTTACCACGATCTGAACGTCCATCATCCCTCTCCTAGAGTCTTATTGGTCTCCCTGCCCATTCTCCCCAACAGGATACTCCTCACGAAGCAGCGCCAGGGGTTGTGCCAAGACCTAATTACATCATCTCACTCTTCAAAACCCTCCCATGGCTCCCATCTCAGTGTACAAAGTAAAACCCAAAGTTTTTACCTCGCCCTACATCTACCCCTCTCTCTCTGTCCCAGCCACAGTGGCCACCCGGGTGGGCCTTGAAGATATTAGGCCAATGTTCATCTTGGGCCTCTGCATTTGCTTTCTCTCCTGCCTGGATGCCTCCCCGGGTATCTCTGTGGTTTGCTCTTTCATTTTCTTCTGGTCTTTGCTCAACCGTTGCCTTCCCAATGTGCTCTTCTGTGCTAGTTACCAAGTCGCTGTTTCTCAAAACTGGCATTCTCCATTGTTTTTCCCCGGCTCTATTGTTTATTTTATTTTCTTTTATTTACAGCCCTGGTTACCTAATGCACCATATACTTTGCCTCTTTAGTAGCATTACATCAATCACCTGCCTCTTCCCACTCCATAAGCTACAGCCAGGGACTTTTCTTGGGAAGGAGTATTCACTGATATATCCCATGTATCTAAAGCAGTGCCTGATAAATAAATACTTAGTAATTACTTAATAGATAAGTAAGTAAAATCATTCCTGTGACTCATTATCCGTAAACGTTGCGAATTCGGTCCAAAAGCCAACCGTCTCCAGCTCAAATTACTCCGATAGCCCCTCACCTCTAATCGTTATTCCTAAAAGTCCGCACTCCCTTCTCCCAGATTCGTTCTTTGTAAAGCCCTCAGCCCGTTATCCGATAAAGCTGCTCCCTCTCCCGAACACAGTCAAAGGCCCCCATGGCTGTTCTCAAAATCAACGAGAGAAAAGTACGCCACTTGGCCCCTAAAATCTCCGTTCTGCCCATCCCCTTCCACTAGTCAGTGGCCAAATTTACACCCTCCATCCCACTCCCGCCGCTTAAGCCTCGCCCGGCCTCACATGGTGGTAGCGGCTGCGTTCTCGAAATGCTCGCGTTCCCTCCGCGTTGCTTCTGCCTCTGAAGAGAGAGCGCGAGAGGCGGGACTTCCGCTTCCTTCTGCTCACTTCCGTAGGCGCCTGCGCAAATCCAACTAGCGGGGAGGGCGTGGCCTGTTGCTATAGCGACCCCGGTCAGCCCTGTGCACGCTGGCGTAAAAGCCTTGCTTAAGTGGTTCACGACCATTCAGGACCGTACGGGGCAGATGTTCACAGCAACGGAGAGAAAAAGAAAGCTGGTCCGACTCAAAACATTTCGTCGTAGAACGGCACAGGTTGCAGGAGGGAGAGGACAAGCCATTTTCAAATGCCCGCCGGCCCTCCCTTCGGGGGCGAGGTCTCCGAGAAGCCAATCCACTCCTCACTTTAGGGGTAGACTCCGCCCCTTTTCCTTTAGGGACCGTTCGTTTACGTGTCAATTGATCTTTCCGACTCCGCGAAACCAATCCTTTGCTTACATCCGGGAGGGGCGTGGACCTACGCCCCGGAGGCCGATTGTTTTCCATGGTAAAACGGTTCTCATTGGCTTCCTCTCCAACGCTGAGGCGGAGCCTACCCCTTTCGCTCTCCCTTTTGGGTCTTGCAACACTCAGGGGAACCAAACCCGAAAGCCCCAGGGAGATGGGGAGGCGTGTCCTCAGAACCCGAGTCCCCATTGGCTTCACTGCTTAACAGGAGGGTGGGATGGGGCAGCCGCTCTTCTTGTTCATTGGTCTGGCGATTCCATGGGGTGGGACTTGGCTAGGCCTAAATTCGATCCGCGGTCCGGGACCGGTTTCAGGGCTGAGCTGCCATGCGTTCCGGGGGCCGCGGGCGGCCCCGGCTACGGCTTGGGGAACGGGGCCTCTTGGGGCCACCGTCAACGCCCAGTCGCCGCCTGCTACCACGGGCGCAGCTGTTGCCCCTGCTGCTGGCGCTGGCCGTGGCCTCCGCGTTCTACACCATCTGGAGCGGCTGGCATCGCGGGACTGAGGAGCTGCCAACAGGCCGGGAGCTGCGGGTGAGGCCGGGCGGAGGCGCAGGCACCGCGGGGGACCTCGTTCTCCTTCTCCCCTTTGCTAAGGTCTCAGGTTGACGTGGCTTTTTCGTATGGCCCTAGCGCAGGTGCTGCGGTTTCCGTCATTAGGACGCATGCCCCTTGTCAAAGGGATGAGGCTTCGGGCTTGTTCTGTAATAGTGACTCCCCCTTATGGATCTGAAGTAAAATTGGGAGTTCTGGGTTCTAATACTAGAGTCAACTATTTGGAAGAGGCAAAAGCAGCCCCATTTACCTTCCTCTCGCTGGGCCTCGATTTTCCCTTCAGGATTGGGGTGGGCTGGACCGGAGGTGCTTGGGAGGACTTTTCCTGCGCCTAGAATTTATCCTAAAAACCTCCGATGCTGGAGGCCGCGATTAGGGAAAGGAACCGGGGCTTTTTAGCGGCGACGGCAGAAGTTCATCCCGCACACAGGTCAGCGTGAGGGTTGCTTTCACACTCTGCTCTTCTCTTCCCCATCCCGCCCCCCACCCAAGGGCCCGTTGATCGGAAGCCTCCCCGAAGCGCGAATGAGGAGGGTGGTGGGGCAACTGGATCCACAGCGTCTCTGGAACACTCATCTGCGCCCCCTGCTGGTTGTGCGGACCCCGGGCAGCCCTGGCAATCTCCAAGCCAGAAAGGTAAAGGGCGGCGCCTGACCCCGATGACTGCCAGGGAATGGGGACTAGGCCTTGTGTCCAACATCCCAAAGCGCTAAGAGGCAGAGCTGGAGGTCTGAGTGGAGCTAATCTGACGCTAGAGTAACCAGCAGATTGTAGTGCCCCCACTAAAAGCTTACTACGTGCTAGGCACAAGTTACAGCCCTGTGAAGTTGGTACCTACGTGATCTTCATTATGCAGATGGAGAAACTGAGGCCCAGAGCATTTTGCCAAAATCTCACAGCTAATATATGGTGTACCTAGGGTTTCAACCCAAACAGGTTGGCTCTGGCTGGAACTGGTTCTAATAACATGCTTCCCAGAAAGCATCAAGAGTCATTTTAATACTGCCTGAGTTCAAATCCCATTTCAGCCACTTGGGGTATGATGTCGAAGTAGTTTAAGCTCTCTGCGCCTCAGTTTTCTCATGTGCGAATTGAGCCATCGATGGTCCCTACCTCATAGGGTTCCTAGAATAGGGATTGGCACACAGTCAGTGCTACTGAAGAGTGAGCTGTGATTAGTCTTGGCATCAAGAGGCGGGGGTCACTGCAAGCCTGGCACATAGTAGACACTCTGCAGAAGTGTGTCAAAGGAATGATTTGAACCAAAGTAGGTCTTGTGAGTCAACCCGACTGCTCTGCGTGGCTCTGGTCACATGGCCCTTCTCCCGACCTCCTCCCCAGTCCCCACCTACCCGCCCACCTCTCTCTTGCCACTAGTTCCTGGAGACCACTTTGCGGGCCCTGACGGCAGGCTGGCATGTGGAGCTGGACCCTTTCACAGCCTCAACGCCCCTGGGGCCACGGGACTTTGCCAACGTGGTGGCCACACTGGACCCAGGGGCTGCCCGTCACCTCACCCTTGCTTGCCATTATGACTCGAAGCTCTTCCCATCTGGGTCGGCCCCCTTTGTGGGGGCCACGGATTCAGCTGTGCCCTGCGCCCTGCTGCTGGAGCTGGCTCAGGCCCTTGACCAGGAGCTGAGCAAAGCCAAGGATCAGGTGAGGAGCAGGGTGGGGGTGGAGGGTGGGGTCCGCTTTTCCTTGGTCTAAGCCACCACCGTCCCTTGCCCGATCTGTCTCCTGACTCCACTTCACGCACAAAGCCACACACACACAAAGGTGGATATTTCCACCTCCTGAATGTCAGATCCTGTCCTTCCTCTGCCCTAAACCCTCCCACAGCTCCTACCTCGTTCCATGCTTAAGCCAGAGTCCTTGTAGTGGCCCATGAGGTGTGCCCTGTCACCTCTCTAGTCTCACCTGCCACCCCTCACTCACTCTGCTCTAGCCACCCACCGCCTCTGTGTACTTCAAACTCACAAGATTCACATTCACCTCAGGGCATTTGCACTTGCTGTTTGCTCTGTCCAGAATGTGCTTTTCTCAGATATCTTCCTAGTTGGCTCCCATTCTTCAGGTGTCCACTCCAATGTCACCTCAGAGAGGCCTTCCCAACCACCCTAAGATAGTTCTTTGTCACTGTCCCATGGTTTGTGGTGCTTTATGTTGATGTGTCTGTCTGATGCCCAATTAGAATAAGTTCCATCTAGGCAGAGACTGGCTGCTTTTGTCTCCTGCTCAGTTCCCTGGGCCCAGAATATCACCTGGCATAAAGCAGGATGTCAATAAAAATGTGTGGAATGAATGAATAAATGAATGAATGAAAACACAAGTCTCTTCGTGCTCCCTCCCCATTCAGCTCCCTTCCATGGCTTGAACCCCAGTGTCCTAAAGCCCAAGCTTCCTGACCTTGCCAACCCCCCAGGCCTCTTCTCAAGCCTCTCTGGCCCCAGCTCTGGCCCACATCGCTTCATTGCCTGGGAACATTCTTCTCTCTGCTTCATTTGCCAGGCCAGCTCACCCTCACCCTCAGTGCAAACATCCTTTTCCAACAGACCGGAAGTCTCCCCAGGCCACGTTATCCCCCGCCCACTTCCTGTGCCTTTTCAGGTCCCTGTAGCTCTTGGAAGCATTCGTCTCAACTGCATTTCATTCATTTGTGGTCTGTCTCTTTTGCCAAAGGAGCTCGAAGGATAACCATAGTGATCAGAGCTGGTCCTTATTTAGTGACTATATGCCAGGCGCTGTTCTGGGACCTGGATTCGAATCCTGCCCTAGGAATAGAACTGTTACTAACCCCATTTCTACATGAGGACACCGGTGCTTTGAGAAGTTAGTAACTCACCTGTGACTGCTGGGCCAGGAAGTGGCTGAGCCAGGATCTGAACCCAGGTGGTCTGGCTCAGAGTCTGTATCCTTGGCCTCCTTGCTCTAGAGTGAGGAGACCTGGTTTGTCTCATTCACGTGGGCAGGAAACAGGGTGAGGAGGGTGAGGCAAGGTCTAGCACTGAGCTGGCCCTGACCACCCGCTTTCACAGGCAGCCCCGGTGACCCTACAGCTGCTCTTCTTGGATGGTGAAGAGGCTCTGAAGGAGTGGGGACCCAAGGACTCTCTCTATGGCTCCCGGCACCTGGCCAAGCTCATGGAGTCTGCACCCCACAGTCCCGGCCCCTCCAGGATCCAGGCTATTGTAAGACAAGGGCCCCACTGGGTTCTGGCAAGGGGTGGGGAGCGGGTGGTGAGGCAAGGTTGGCAGCATCCCGCCCGGCCTCTTTCCCCAGGAGCTCTTTATACTTCTCGATCTCCTGGGAGCCCCCAATCCGACTTTCTATAGTCACTTTCCTCGCACGGCCCGCTGGTTCCATCGGCTGAAGAGCATAGGTAAGCGTGAGGGTGGACGCAGGCGCCAGCCTGGAATGCGGGCGGGAGGGTCAGAGTAAGGCAGGCCCCTCGAAGGGGCCATCCAGCCTTGCCTCCACTGACCACCCTTGCCTCTCTCTAAGGCACTGACACAAAGGGCAAAACACAAGAAGATCCCATAGTATAGTGACTACAAACGGGTTGGGGGTCAGAGAGCCCTGAGTTCAAATCCTGACTGCCTTTACTAGCTGCGTAAACTTGGGCAAGTGGCTTCATCTCTCTAAGCCTCGATTTCCTATCTGTAAAGTGGACATGATGGTAATATTAGGGGTGTCTACCTACTAGACTCAGAGGGATCGAATGAGACCAGGAACATGGCACAGCTGCAGTAAGGGGTGACTAACATTCATTCTTGTTGGGGGATGACCGGATCTTTACCTTCGGACCCCCTGCCCTCCTCTGGTTTGTGAGCAGGGGAACCCTGGACCCCTGAGGCTGATCCTTGCTCTCTGATCCCCAACCTGCAGAGAAGCGGCTGCACCGTTTGAACCTGCTGCAGTCTCATCCTCAGGAAGTGATGTACTTCCAGCCCGGGGAGCCCCTGGGCTCCGTGGAAGACGACCACATCCCCTTCCTACGCCGAGGTACTTGTCGCAGGGAGGGGTGGGGGCGCAGGAGTCCAAGGGAGACACAGATGGGACGTGGCCCTGGCCCCTTCCCGGGGCGGAGGACTGGTGGCTGATTGCTTAACCTCTTCGTGCCTCTATTTCCTCATCTGTAAAATGGGGATGACAGTAGCCCCTGTCTTGTGGAGAGGACTAAATGTGCTAATATACAAAGTAAAGACCTCTTTCGGACCAGTGTCCGGCACACGAGCATTGAATACTGTGAGCTATCACTGTTTCTAGCTCTTGCCTTTCAAGGCCCTGGCGGCCTAGCAAAATCACTTGAGGAGCTTCAAAAAATGCCCGGTCACCTTTCAGGCCCACCAAAGTGTTGTCTCGGGTCTCTGCGTCATTTTCACAAAACTCCCAGGTGACTCCGATGCATAGCCAGAGCTGAAGACACCTGGTACAAGGGTTCAGAGCATAGGTTTTAGAACTGGACAGGTCTGGGTTCTAGGATCTGCAGCTCACCACTGGTAGACCTAAGGCAAATTACTTAGCCTCTCTGGTCCCGTTTCTTCTGGAAAACGAAGAGAGATATACATACAAAACATGTCTACGCGTACATTCATAATCACAGGCTTGGGAGGGTCAGATGAGATTAGGTATATGAAATGCCCGCTTACACAGTGCTTGCCATATAGTGTTAAAAACTGCTTTTAAATTTTTTACCCCGTAATTTACTCATTCAACAAATATGCATTCCATACGACGCCTTCTTTATTGATTCGCTCAGTGAATACTTCCCAAGGCAGGTGCTGAATGAGATGTCAGGGATATAGTGATGGGCCATAACCTGCCCGCCTCCTGTCTAGTGGGGGCACTGATATTTACCAAATCTGGACAAACGCAGAGGGAGGTGCGCTGGGGACGAGAACCCAATGCAGTGCAGAGGTCAGGGACACAGATTGCCGAGACGAGACAGGTGGCCTGGGTGCAAATTCAGACTGCGCTGTTTACTAGAGGCAGTAAACTAGTGCCTCAGTGTCCACATCCGTAAAATGGGGGTAATTACGGTACCCACCTGAAAGAATTATCGTAAGGATAAAACGGGGTGTGTCTGTGTGTGATGTATGGCCTTAGCCTGGGGCCTGGAATGGAATCAGTACTATAGACATCCTGTCAGTAAAGAGGAAGAGAGCCTAACAGCATACCTGGTGAGGAGGGTCAAAGACATCTTTCCCTTCTTCTGATTTTTCCATAATCCATTAAGTTTTGAGTTTCTAATTCGTGTTACGAAAGCAATAGATATATCAGATACATTTTTTATTTTTATTTATTTGTTTATTTACTTTAGGTGAGGCAACCCTTGGCTGACCTCACGGATTGCAAAGACCTTGTCAGTTTACGATCCCTTATTTTTTAAGCCTACAGCACCTGGTCTTCCTAGGTGGTCTCCCTTCCAAGTACTAACCGGGCCCGACCCTGCTTAGCTTCTGAGATCACACGGGATCGGGCTTGTTCAGGGTGGCGTGGCTGTAGACTCTGGATATGTTCTTTAAACTAACATATACCCTCATCCATTTAAAATCATCGTTCAGAGTTCTTCAAGTGCCAGAACGGAGTGGGTTCCGGGGGTTGGGGCGGGCCGGGCCGGGGCTCCTGGTGTAGCTGCGGCTCTGACCGCGTCTGCCCTGTCCCGCAGGAGTCCCGGTGCTCCACCTCATCTCTACGCCCTTCCCTTCCGTCTGGCACACACCCGAGGACTCCGAAGCCAACCTGCACCCACCCACGGTGCACAACCTCAGCCGCATCCTCATCGTGTTCCTGGCTGAATACCTGGGGCTCTAGCCTGCCTGGCTGACTCTGAAGGAGAAGCACCCAGCGGGGGATGTGCCAAGGGCACCTGGAGCCAGCGGAGATGGGGCCGGGCCCGCCTTGCGTGTGCCGGCTTGTCCTTTTTTAATACCTTTGGCTCATCTCGTGCTATGACTGGAAAACCCTCTTTCCTTTCGCTCTCTCAAGCCACCACTCTTCAAAGACGTGGAAGAGAACACTGTGGGGTGAGAGCCAAAGGAATAAGAGCTCGGCCCCTGCTCTGGGGTAAACACTTGGGATGCAAGTTTGCAGGGGCCGAATGCTGTTCTCGGTTTTAGTCAGCAAACCACGGACTGGCAGATGGACCGGCAACACCGCCCGACCAAATGAATTCTCTATGGCTTACATTTTTGGGTCAGTTCATTTTCCATAATGGCAGCTTTGCTACTGCACCAGTCCAAGCCATGTGAGGCCCACAGAGGATATGCTCATAAACAAGAACAAAGGAGATGGAAGCCAGTACTTGGCAACTCCATATTCTGCATGGTCCTGTGGGCAATAAACCAGTGTTTCTGCAAAATACTTTCCACAGAACTAGCCTAATAGGTATTGCATGAAAAAAAGGACCAAAGAAACAGGGTGAGACATTAGATGAGTTTCTTCATTGCATGTGAACTGTGAAGGGTAAGACAGAATTCAGTGTTTTCCTAAAGTATTTCACCACGGAACCCCTTTATTAGACAGCACCTCACAGAACTAGGGTACTTCAGAATATACTTTGGGAAACACTGGGTTTTGATCGTTTGCATACATTTGTGGACTACGACAGACCTAGAATCACTGCAGATTAGTTCTAGCAAACCACCCTGTCCTTTTAGCTGTGGGTACAGGAGTGTGAGATGGTGGGCGTAACTGCAGCTCTAGTGGTGACCTGATTTTCGCTCAAGTGGGGTGCTTATTAAAAAGTGCAGACTCCTAGGTTTCACCCAGACCTAATGAATCAGAACTCCAGGCAGAGGCTGGGACTCCGTAATGAGCACCTGAGAAGTCCCATGATCAGCAACGTCTGGGACATGCTGTCCTTGAGGATAGCTCGGTGCGTTCCCAGCTGCTTAGCAAACCTACTCCAAAGCAAGCTGTAACATGGAGGGCACCTAGGGAGTCCTGTGCCTGCTGGCTTCGTGACTCATAGGTGGCGGGGATGTCAGATGAGGATGGAGGGTTATTAAGTAGTAAAGTGAGCATCGGCCTTCCGAGCCAACTCAAAGCCGGAGAAGACTCAAGAACTCATGGACTGAAACTCAGGATATTTAATGAGAGAAGATAGATTCTTCGACAGCAGCTGGCATTTCCTGGGCACCTACTACGTGCCAGGTACCATGAGCAATTTACACATTATCAACGCAGTCTCCCCTAAATCCTCAGGTAGGTATAAATTTTGGTTCTCGTTTCACAGATGAGAGGGCCAGGTGTGAGATTTATGAATCAGTGGTTTACAGAGCCGATTCTCACACGTGGCTGTGCTCCTAACCTCATGCCCCACCTCCCTTCCAAAACTCACCTGTGCTGGACCAAGAATTTGTTGACAAAAAGCAGCTCCTCCCGAGGCTCTGAATTAGCTGCAATTCAAAGAATGGGGTTGGGGAGGGGACCATGGTGGCCTTAGAGGTGGAACTGGCAAAGTCCAGGGTTCAGAAAGGGAAAGTGATTGACATGTCAACAGGGTGGCAAGGTCTCAAACACGGGGAGCCTCCTGTCTGTTCATTTTTGTGTGGCAGGCACGCTAGCAAACACTTAAAAGTGTACCACGTCCCTTCAGCCTTGCAGCCACCCAAAAGTAATTGAGGTGTTAGCAGAAGCAGTGTCTGGCTACATCCCGGCCTCCATGCCTCGTTGCAAGGTGTCCTGGTTGAGTGCACAACACGCACATTTTCTGCGTGCATCCAGGGTCAGGAGTGTAAGCCCCATTTTACAGATGAGGTTTGGAAAGGTGTTCTCCCCAGCTCCCATCCATCTCCTAATCTTGGGGTTCCCCAGCCTCACACGATGAAGGGTCCACCAGGTGTTTTCGATGAGCACTCTAGATGTGACATCTCATGTGTCAATCTTTTTAGCAACCGTCAGTATTCTCATTTTTCAGATTAAGGAACAGCTTCAGAGAAATCCGCTGAGGGTCACGTAGCCAGACACTGTCACTGCAGTGTGTCCAAGTGTATGTTTCTTTGTATTTATCCTGCTTAGGACTCATTGGGCTTATTGATCTTTTATCAGCCTGGAATTTGGAACCATCGTCTTTAAATTCTTTACACTATTCTCTTTTGAGTCTAGAACGCCAATTAAATATTAAACTTTCTCACTCTATCCTCTATAACCTTTCATATCTTCTTTCGTCTCTGCTACTTTTCGGACTTATCTCTGGTTCAATAAATCTTTCTTCAGTTGTGTCTAATTTGTTGTTTAGCCCAGCCACTGAGTTATTACTCTTGATTATATGTTTGTGGGTTTTTCTCTTTCATATATGCTTAGGCAATTATTTAGTTCTGGGTTCCCGATATTTAGCTCTATTTCTAGGCTTTAATGTATTCTAATTTGTGACTGACAGTCTCACCATCTGAAGCCTTCGTGGGTCTGTTTTTGCTCTGTCGTTTCTTGCTCATGCTGATTTACTTCCAGGCATGTCTGGGTGTCTATATACTACTCTGTCCGAAAATCATTTCTGGGATCCTAGATGACAGTTCTTTGCACCAGAGGGTTTATGTTTGTTTCAGCCATAAATCTCAGCTAGAAGTACCGTGGACACACAAGTGATGTACACCTGGGCTGCAAACCAGCCAAAGGCCAGTCTGTGACCATAAATTCTCAAATCTGCTTTTACCCTTTCCCTTGGTCTAGTGTTCCCCTCTCAGCGTTTAGAACATCTCTGCAGTCTTCTGGGCCATCCTTACCTCGGTGGGATCCCAGCTATTAGATTCTCCGTCTTGGGCAGGCTTTGGCCTTGACTCCTGCCTGCTTGTCCCAATAAGACTACAAATAGGAAACCCAAGTTTGTCCGTATCAGCAAATGCCTTCAGAGCAGAAATGGCTTCAGGGTCCCATGTACCTTTCCCTTAACTTTTTGGCTTAGTGCGTCTTTAACTATTTTATTGGCTATTTGATGCTTTTAAGATTCCTTCCTGTTCTCAGCAGGAGAGTCCAAATAATCTGGCCCTCCCTCTACGGGAAACTGAAGTCCCACAAAATCCAGCCAAGGGTCAAACCCAGATCTCTTTGATTCTAAAATGTCAGCATTGAATAACTACTACGATATATTTTAGTTTCTCTGGAAACTTTGATTCCCTGATAAGGATATCACAGACTGTTTGCTGATTCTCAATATCCATTTTTCCCTCTTCTTTTATACTTGAATTTTTATATGTCTTAATTCCCCCCTTTTTATTTAGTAAATAATTAAGTGAATATTTTAAAGCTTTCGTTATAGGAATTTTAACAAGAGTTTTTTGTTGGGCATAATCACACAGCTAAAAGACCACGTTTGCCAGTCTCCTCTGCAGCCCTTCCATATGGCTAAGTTCTGACCAGTGAGAAGTATACAGAAGTACAGTAAGTCCTTAACACAGTCGATAGCTAAGGTTCTGCAATGTTAAGCGAGATAACGTATAAGAAAAAGTTTTACCATAGGCTAATTGATATAAACAAGAGTTAACTTCCTACAGCATCTCATCATTATGATGAAGTGATGTTGAGCAAAATGATGCTGAGGACCTGCCTGCTGTATGGTGCAGTGCACCTGGAAGGAAGGGGGCTTCTCTTCCTGCAACATGGTGATGACTGGCATTCTCGCAGCCATCTTGGACCATGAGGATGAGAGCCGCAGATGAAGAATGATGGAATAGTGAGCTAGAAAGAGCCTGGGTCCCTGATGACATCAGGGCCTGTCCAACACTGGATTTCTACAGAAATAAAAACTATCTTGCTTAAACTACTACTATTTTGAGATTTCTGAGTCCAGACTGACATAGATCAAGAGTCGGAAATCTCATGCTAAGGGATGTGGCTAAGGATCCTTTTCTTTCAACTTTTTCCATTTCACCAGGCGTGGGGCCCACGTCTCCCTTCTTTCCCAAACACCCTCCCTGAACAACACACAAACCAGTCTGGGGCCAGCCTTATAAATATGGATTTTATAGAAAGGACCAATTCAAAACTGGTCAGATGCCACACGCCAGAAGCTTCCAGAACCACAAGGATGAAAAAACAACAAAAAACCCCACCTAAACAGAATAAACAGAAACACCCCCACCCAAATTGCCTGAAAATCAAGGTCGCAGTTGACCAAAGGATTCTAAAGGAACACATGTGGCTGAGGGTGGAGACCCCAGTGCCTGAACAAGTACCCAGAGCGGAAGGAAAAACAACCCAGAAGTTCAAACCCACAGTCCCTGCCCACCGGCCCCCCACGCTGTCAAGAGCGAGGCAAAGGGCTTCACAGCTTTTTTGGGGGGGAGGGGGAGGAGTGATAAAATAGCTTAAATAATGGGAGGAGGGAAATTTTTATCCTTCAACTTGTTTCTTTCTCTTCCCCTTTGGGGGAAGTGGAGAGACTGGTAGCTTGAGGTTCAGGAGAAAGAGTGATTTTTATTGTCTTAATGGGGAAAACATCTAGCTATGGCAGGCGGGCTGCCACGAAACATGCCCAGTTTGTTCTGCGATCGGATGGCCCCCGATTCCTAGACAGAAGGTAAGCCCTGGTGTGGCAGGTTTGGAGAGGTACCAGCCTTCGGTGCTGCAGCCTCTTGGTAGGACATGGCTCCAGAGACAGAGAGCTGGGGGGAGGAGCAGAAGGGGGCCAGGATGGGGAAACCCTTAAGTAGTACCAAAATTAGCTGCCGTCTGCTCCCTGCTGGCAGGTTCCTGGGGTGTAGTGGCAGGGAGGGTGCTGGGGCTGAGTGGAGAAGAAAGTTGAGATGCTGATAAAAAAACACCCTCCTTGAGGGTCCCCGGCCCTGGGTCGGAAGAATAGAAAATAGGGATCAATCGGAGTGCTTTCTTGGGTCGTCCCCTGGAACCCCACCTCAGTTCTGGAGGGGGATCGATGCTGCCTGGACTAGGGGTGCAGGCTGGCGACCCAGTCCTGGCCCTCGGCTCCCAGGGGGAGGGGTGGGGGTGGGCAGGGCGGGCTCTCCCCCCACCCGCCCCCGGCTTCACCTCCCCT